ATTATAAATTAATTATTTAAAAAATTAATTAATTTAAATATTAAGTATAATTTATAGGATATATACTTTCTCTATAATGCCATTACATATTTCTATTAATATAAAAAGTTTCAGAGCTTTTTATTCACTTCACTTTTTTGGGATTTTATGAACTGAAAAATGACAGTTTTCGTGAGAATGACCCATATATGTTTTTCAACATTCGTCAAATTGCTATTAAAAAAAATTTTTTTTAGTATTATTTGAAAAGAAAATTTAAAATAAAAGATAGGAAAACATAAGTCTTTTGATATTCTGAGTTGCAAAATCTTTTTCATGAGCATTTGTATTTGTAGGCATTTGTAAAGTAATATAAACGAATTTCCTGAATATTTTATCACATTCTACACTATTCATTTATTTTCAAAGAATTATCTTTTTTGGATTTGCATGAAAACTAAATTTTAACTAAAAAGAAATCTATGAGGAGTATTTTCCCTTCTGGTGAAATTTTTAAGGAGTAAAACTAATCCAATGTGTCAAATTCTCATCTAGATATGTGTTGGTGTTAATACTATTATTGCTATTTTTCTATAGTTATTACTATTTTTCGCAACTTTCCGATTAGCATTAATTTTCATTGATAATTTTTGTTTCCAGCACTTTAATATTTACTTATTTGTAAATAAATAGTTTTTTCACATCAATTTATGCATTGAAAATTATTTGATTGTTTTTCAAGGCTGATTGTGCTCCGGAAGTTTCCAGAGATGGAAGGTCCAGATGTTTAAAAAAATCATTGATCACAGAAGTTTCTGGAAATCAAATTTTCAAAATTGGAACTTAAAAAGATAGTTTATTTTATTTGTTTGCAAGGGAGAGCCAGTGAGATACTTTAAGCTTAATTTCATGATTAATATTAATTTTTTATCAGTAAATAGTTGTTTTAATCATTAACTCAAGAAAGAAAGACATATTTGTAAATTTTAATTACTTCTCCAGGTCATCATAGGTATGTGTAAAATTTTAAATAAACTGAGAAATATTGAGAAAGAGGGAAAAAAAAACCTTGTTTAAATTTATTTCTAATTTTTCAATTTTAACTGTTTTTTTTTTTTTTTTTTTTTTTTTTTTTNTGTTTTTTTTAAACTAAAGAAATTTTCCGGAATTTTGACTTGGGCTCACAATCACCCCTGGTATTTCAATCCTTCAAAGACAATGTATTACTAAAAAAACTAGCCAGTTCTGCAAAATCATTAATTTCAGAAGTAGTTCCTATGATAATAAATTATGTAAAATAAATTATCTTTTTTTGTGGTGTTCAAACATTTATTTACGATGGAATATTAATATTGCTTTATGTTTTTCTGACTTATAACTAAAGGAGTATGTTCTAGTAACTTCTATTTAGAATTAATATTTTTTTAAAATGAAATATTCTTAGTGTATCATGTCCCTAAAAGTGTTTTACCGATCTGTATTTTCTTCTTATAGTCCAAAGCTGCCTATGTATTGTTTTATATGCGCCGAGATGCATCTGCAATGAGTCATTCTAGCCGGCACAACATCTCTGCTGCTCTAGGTGCACCCAGAAGTTCACAAGTATCCAGTCCTGACGATGATGCTGTCTCGTCAAGTGATGAAGACTGCAACATGGATACAAATTAGGGTTAATTTATTTAAAATTAGTGATTCTTTAAGCAAACGTCAAGTTTCTATGGACATGGTGACCTAAAGAAGTGTGATGAGGAGAGATTATCCAAAATGAGAGAGAATCCACCTCTCTGATGTTTTTGTATGTAGCTGTAGATATTTGATTCTCACCGAGAGAGGATTTAGCAAGTTCTTCATTTTTATAAAATGGAAACTTGTACACAGGCATAAGTATTGAACCTTTACTTTGAAAATGTTGTTTGTTTTTGTAAAATTTAATAATTTATTTAACACACAAAATTGTTTTCATTCAATTGAATGCTCTTAATTTAAATATTCAATGCATGGTTCTTCTTTCAAGCAATTTCAGAATTATTTTTTTGACATTTACGGCGGTTGTAAAAGTAGTTATAACTATGCGTTATTGTAAATAAAAAAACTTATGAGATGCATTGCTTTATTTTCATACTACTTAGTTCTGAAGAGTAATTTTTTTAACACATACAAATGTTTTATCTTAATATTTTGTCTTTGGCTCAGTTAAACCATCTCAGTCTTGGTGTATATAATGTTATAAAATACAATGCTCTCCAAGATCTTAGCTGAGAATTTCTACTTTTACAGCCAATTTTGGTCACTTGAAAATATTTTATGTATAGCTTTATGGTTAAAAAAAAAAAAATTCTTTCAGAGTGGTGACTTGTGTGCTGTGGATTTTTGACACAACTACTTGTAATATATTGTGCTATACATTACAGAATTTTAATTTATTTCAATAAAATTTATTAGGGTACTTTGTAGTAGTCTTCTTTCACTCTCAACACTTACAAAAAATAGTACTGTGTGTAACATACAATCTTTGTATCAAAACTTCTTTATTCTTATATCTTTAGGAGTTTATTAACTTTAAGATAAATTGCAAGATATTTGATCTAAGTTATTTCTAAATAATGCTTGCATTAAAAAATATTTCCAGGTCTAAGAGTCCAGGTATTTGCTTTTGATCTCCGATTACACCATGTCAAAATGTTAAGAATTAGTTTTTTTAAAAGTCTGAAGCTTTATAATAAAGATAATGTTCAACTTCTTTTGAGCAAAGTTGACACTTTTTTTTTTTTTACTAAAGCACTTGTAGGGTAAACTAACCAGTGAAGGAACACTTAAGCTTCGCTTGCCTTTTAAAAAATATTAATTTCAAAATTTGTAATTTTAGTTAAATGACAGTGTCAACATATTTGTTACTACAGTAGAGTCTCGAAAGTTCGAGTTTCAGAAGTCCGAGGTTCCGCTTAATTCAAGGTGCCAAATTTTCCCCCTAGCAACCAAAAGCGCTGGAAAGAAAGGAATTTTCAAACCAGATCTACAAGAGTTTTATTCTTCCAAGTTCAATTGTACTAGTAGCTTGGATGCTAGTTAGGGACTCAATACACATGCTTACTTGATCCTTATTATTTTGGAAACTTATTGCTGTTGAAAGTGTTGCGTTAAGATGCCTGCTGCGAAAATGAGTGGAAAAAATAAGAGAAAATTTGTATCTATGATAACTAAATTGAATGCTATAAAAAGATTAGATGCAGGTGAAACAATAAAAAGTGTTGCTACCGATTTGGGTGTTGGAGAGGTAACAGTTGGTGACTGGCGCCGCAATCGAGTAAAAAATTGAGCAGTTTTGTTCACAGAAGTGCAATGAGACTCCAGGAGAAAAAAGAAAATCTATGAGAACATCAGACTATGAAAAAACTAGCAAGGCTTTATTTCTTTGGTTTACTCAACAGCGTGGCAAAGGTACTCCTATAAATAGGTACTCCTGTGTTTTTCAGAAATCAGTTCAAAGAAGAAGATTTCGCAGCAAGTGTTGGTTGGTTAGACCGTTGGAAAAAACGATATGGTGTACGTCAACTAAATATTTGCGGTGAAATACTCTCGGCAGATACGTCAGCTGTGCAGGCATTTCAAAAACGGATTGAAGACATTATATTGGCGGAAAAGCTCACACCTGACCAGTTATAACTGTGACGAAACAGGTTTGAACTTGTTTCAAAAGAGGAAAATTCAGCTCCAGGTCACAAAAAACGGAAGGAACGATTAACCATTTTAGCATGCGCCAATGCATCTGGAAATCATAAAATGAAACTGACTGTGATTGGGAAATCTGCCAAACCTAGAGCCTTAAAAAACATCACTAAAGAAGCCTTACCAGTACATTACACAAATCAGAAAAGTGCATGGATGAATCGAGAAATTTTCAAGCAATGGTTTCTAGAACATTTTGTTCCAGAAACACGGAAGGCATTGAGAAAAAAAATTTGCCTTGCAAAGCAATTTTGTTTTTAGATAACGCTCCATCTCATCTGGACGATGATGAGCTACGTTGTGGTGAAATCTGTGCTATATTTTTTCCTGCCAATGTTACAAGTTTGATTCAGCCAATAGATCAGGGTGTATTGGAAAATTTAAAGAAAAAATATCGACACCTTTTGTTACAACATTTAGTTCAGTCTGATGATGAAAGTGTTGCGGATGTTTTGAGGAATGTAAGTCTGAGAGATGTTGTCTACTGGATAGCAGATTCTTGGGAAGAAGTTCAACCTGCGACAGTAATTAAATCGTGGACTTAAGTTTCTACCTGAATTGGTTACGCCTATTGAGAAAATTAATGATGATGATAGTGAAACAATTGTTTTGAAAGATTTGGTGAAGGAATTACCAGGCTGCGAAAACTCTAATGCAGTTGATCTAAATGAATGGCTAAATAGTGACGACAAGCTGGAAATAACAGACTCAAGTATTATAGAAATGATGGAAGAATATGAGACAGAAGAAAACGACTCTCCGTTATCAGAAGAAAAAAATCTCATAGTGTAGGTTCTGCAGCCTTAGAACTAGCTTTAAAATATGTAGAACAGCAAACTGAAGCCACCCCTGCAGATGTTTTGCTTTTGAAGCGTTGGCTGACTATCACATCAACAAAGAGAAGTAATATATTGAAGCAACAAAAAATTGACAATTTTTTTAAATTGTAAAGAATCTTTTACGTCATTATACTAAAGAATATAGGATTTTAAAGTAATATGTTCATTTTATTTAATTTCATTTGTAGTTGTTAAAAATTTTCTACTTTTTCGGAAAATCCGAATTTTCAGTAATTCGAGGTTGTGTTAGCCCCAATTACCTCGGATTTTCGAGACTCTACTGTAATTACAAATTATGTAAAAAAAAATTGTAGAGAACTTACATAATATTGTTTTAAAGTTTTGGAGGTTCAAATAACAAGTAGTAAGAAGACCAAGTGAAAGAACAGCTCTTACCAGTGAATGAACACTCAGTAAAGGAACACTTAATTTTGGTTATTTTTTAAGGCTCTTTATGAATTTATAAGCCATACAAATATTTAAAAACAAGCTTATTCTTGAAATTTTAACATATAAATACTTGGAAAATGTTTATTTTTTTTTGTTAACATGAATTTAAAATTAAAGTGACAACATATTAACGCATAGTGTTCATTCATTGGTAAATCTATGCCCAGTAAAAGAACGTGCCTGTTCCCTCACTGGTTATAAGTTTTTCGTATTTTTAACATACTTTTGATGCGGAACATCACTGTAGGTACAAGAAAATTAAAAGTTTATCCTTTATTTTCATTAACTTAGAAAAAAACCCAGTAAAGGAACACTTGTTCCTTCACTGGTTTTTCATCGTTTGGTGATCCAGTGAATAAACACCCCCTTATCTCAGTACTTTGCTATGATGCTTAAAAAAATAAAACGTAACTTCAATAACTATATTTTGAATTCTTTTTTTCACAGTGAGAAAAATAAAACTATTACGTGCAATTAATTCCACTTCAAACATATAAATACAAACATTCACCTTATAATTTTTTCAAAGAAACAAGGTGTTGCAGAGATAATAACTAATTCAACATTTTTTCCAGGGAAGTCTGACCAGGTAATCCAAAACATTTCTAGATGACTTCCTATTGTTTGGCAGTAAGCTATTGTTACCAATCAATCTAAAGAAAAACTTTCAAATTCTTATTTTTTAATCAATATATATGAAATGTTCCTTCACTGGTTGGTTTACTCTTATCTTTTGTTCAACTCTATTGTATGTATAGGTAGAAGAGTGTTGTATCTTATTTTTATTTAACTTGAACGAATTCTGTCATGCCCTCCAGAAATATATATATATATTTTTCAGCTTGAAAAATTGTTACAATATGGTGCTGTACCTTGGACCATTAGGTGTTGGTCCTTAAATTACACTTTCTTTTAAACTTTTTGAATTTCATGCAATTAAAACTTAATTTTTGAGTAGCCTGCATAAGTTAAACATAATATTAAAAAATGTTTCAAATTTTTTACATGTTAGGAGTGCTAACTTGGCTTGTTGCTTGTATTCACCCAAGGTACAACAAGCATTCACAATTTTGTGAGTAAATAGTTTTCTCAAATTGATATTTTGATACTTATCTACAGTGTTTTTAATTTTATATAGGGTTTTATTTTCAATTTTCACAGATATTAAAAATCACCCGACAATAAAAAAAAGCCAAGAAGTTCCAGCACATGACCACCAGCTCAAAAGATAGTGTCTGTTGTCACAGGTATCAACCCCTATTATCCTTGGTCCCTATAAAGTGTGTAAAAATATTTTTGAAATTATGCTGCAAGGATGCAGTCATTTTTTAAAACTTAATCACACATGTTGTGACTGACCTAGAAAATTAAAACTCATTTAAAAAACAAAATTCATTTTTTTGTTTTGGTAACAATTATTTGAGCAAATATTTCATCAAAGTTGCCCATTATCCATACTCAGCATTAAAGTTAAGTTAGTCCAGAAACATTCTAAAAAACTTTGTTTCATAATTAAGCTGTAACAGGATACAGTTCTTTTCATAGTCCACTGAATTAGACAGCACAGGGAACACTTGCCGTATTTTTCTTGTAAGTTGGCTTTTGAATTCCAGAATCTGGTTAAGTTCATGTAAGAATATTCCTTTGCAGCAGACAAGAGTTTTATAGAAATATCACTCTTTCCTGGAATATTTTTGGCTTATTTGTTATCAATATTTAAAAATAAACCGCCATTTGTTGTGGATCAAAATTCAAGCAACTTTCGTGAGGTTTAGCACATGGGTTCTGAAATTGAAAAAAATAAAGTTGCATGGGAAAATGACTTCTTTTTACTAAATTAATTTGCAACTGTTATTTAGCAGAAAAATTATAAATTGTAGAATAATGCAAAAAATCCCAAGTGGCCCTACTGACATTAAATGCGGAAATTCTCCAAGGCCACAAATTAACATTTGTCCGAAATACAAACTCTTTAGTTTACATAAAATTATTGGTTATAGGGGTTCCTAAGCCTTGATAGTGAATTAGATAAATATCATTTTTACTTTGGGACCTGCTAACCTTGCTGTTTTGTAAGAATTTAAATCTATACTAGGATGAAAAGTACCTATGCTTACCAACTCAGAACTGCTCAGACTCTTTTCGGATTATGTTAGCGTAAATTAACTTTACTGATACTTGTTTTAATAATATACTGTATGTGCATTTTGTTTTGTGAAATATTGAACATTTAAAGATTTTATGTATTGAAAATTATAAATTTCAGTATTCGAGGGCATTAACATATTCTGTAACTTAAATTTGTAACACGAATAAAACCAAAGGGGGAAGAAAAGCACAACTGGCCGAGCTTAGTTCATAAAAACCAATCTCTCTTCCTTAGAATTCATAAAGCATTGAAACTAAAATATTGAACCAGCATAAATTGATGAGTAAAGTTAAAACAAAAATAAAGTACAGTTAGCTGTCAAATTGTTTACTTATGTTGAACTTGTAGCTCAGTTTCAGCTGACCAGATAAGAAATTTTTTTTTTGTTCATAAATTTGTAAATGCACTTATAAGCATTGATGTTTATGACTGCTACTTCACTTGTCAATGAGAAAAGAAATACAATAAATTTTTTTATTTTATGAAATGAGACTAATCACATGTAAATCCAAGACTAAGAAATGCCTTGTTAAATGCTGGGGGGAGTAAAGCTGTGCTATTTAAAGCTTAAAAACTTATTTATTCCAAGCTATTTTCAACTAATGAATTGTGTTCAAATGTTTTCCATTTGCATACCTGCCAACTTTTAATCCTTTCGAGGATGATTTTCCCCAGTGGTAGTAAAATAGAATTTTAGGCAGAAACATACATTGTAATTTGAAAAAGCTTATGCGGAGTATGTCACTATTACATATAAATATATATGCTTAATTTTTAAAAAAATAGTGGCTTTCAAAAAGATAATAAATTAAGTTTATAAATGCAAGGAATATATAGAAAGCATACATTTTGCTCTTTAGCCCTGCATTTTGCTACCACTTTAGATATAGAAATAAAATTTTACGCTAAATGCGTAAAGGTTGGCAGGTATGCATTTGTCTACTGGTGGGTATAATTTATTTTAATATTTAGTGTTAAAATAATTATGTTACAGAAAAAAGTAATGAAACAATTTGATACTTTTATTTACAAACATTTAATTTTACAAAGTATGCATATGTGCACTTTAACAAATAACACAGTAACAACAAAAACAATAACTTAATTTATTTTTTTTAAAGAACAAACTGAGTTTGATATCTATAACAATTTTAAAAAATTTAAAATATTACTTCAATGTATTCAGTAAATTTATATTTTTTATAAAAAATATACAAAGAAAACATTAGTGCAAGTGTTCTGTTACCATTAAGTATATTACTACTAACATTAAACTTCAAATATGTCAATAAATGTGTTGGAACTTTATCCACGTTGAACTGCTTTTTTGAAAGAAGTTGCAAAAATTTGGTCTGACATTCGAAGAAAGGTGTTAAAAGTGAGAGTAATGTCATAAGGTTTAATGTTAATACAATAAAATGTTATTCAAGAAAATACATAACTTCTCATAATACTTTTACAAATTAGAACACTTAAAGGTTTCTGCACTAAATGGTAAAATAAAAATTGATGTAGATTAAGTTTTTCACTTATTTCTAACTTTGACTCCTTCAAATTGTGCGAATTTCTTTAGTTTTGTAAAAGAAAACATTCAAAAATATTTAAGTCGGCAAAACTAATACTTTTGTTTTTGTGACATTAAGCTTCTTTTAATATTTGTTTCTTCAAAAATATTTTTCACAAACTTCAGTGTCATGAAAATATGCAAAAGTCCACTGGTAACACAAACTAAATATTAGCCTTTTCTTCTAAGCAAAATGTGAAACCATAATGATAAGATGATTACAGTATAAAAAACAAGCATAACAAAATACAGTCTTAATACAGACAAAAATTGACTAATTTTTATTGTACTTTCTTTCTAATAATTTAAAATATTTGTAACACTTTATTTACAGATTTATTTTTACGGTTGAAATTGTTTAACAATACTGCAGTTCAAAATATTTTTTTTCCAGTAAGTTTCTGAATGACATATTAGTAACCGGTACAAAACATGAGTACTTCAAAGTCTTTTTACAAGATTTCTTCTTTAGCCCCATAACTTAAAAGCCTAAAATAACTATGATTAACACCTATCTCAAATATTTAACTTTTATCAAAACACTTAGAATAATTATTTTGTATTTTTGAAATATGGTAAATTTAAAACAATTAATACAATTTAAGTCTATTATAGAGGAATTATAATTTTACTTCTATGTCCTTGTAATGAGGCAAAGGTTTAATTCACGTTTTTTATTGCTTAGAAGACTAAAATTTGAATAATATTTGTTTATCTTGGATAACAAAAAATGGAGAGAAAAAATCCTCCAGCAATGGATGAAGATGAAAATGTATTAGTAAAAAAAAAAAAATGAACTGCAGTTTTTTTTCGTGGTAGGTTTATTTATCTTCTACAAAACTATCAACTTGGCATTTATATTACTCTTAGGGTGCAAACTTATTACTTATTAACCAAAGTTAAAAAGTAATTTAATGATCGATCTTATAGCAACCAGGGCAACAACAACAAAAAAAATTCTGTTTCATGTTAAATAGCATTTTTTTTTCTTTACAGTCTGAATTTATTTGAATTTCATTATCTAACTTTCCACTCGAAAAACATTTTAATTTCCGGAATTACTCAATTATTTTAGGAATTGTTTTCTTTTCAACTTGGAAAGCGAAGGAGAAGCGCATTACAGAATGAAATACTAACAAACACAAAACTGAATAAACTGCCATTATTTGCACCGTTTGGAGGTAATTCACGAATGATTTCCCACAAATAGTGTATGTCTTTCTGATGTCCTTTACAGCCTGCGACATTTCATTCTGGGCAACGCAATGGAAGTCGTAATTCAACAATCTTGTATCTTCAGGGCATACAAAACGTCTTCTTGTAACGTCCTAAAAAATAAATTGAAAATCAATAAGAACAGTAAAATTGTAATTGAAAAGTACACATCTGATAGAAACTTAAAAAGTTGGAATATTTAAGAAAAATAAAAATTTTGTTTAAGTCTGTCTTCCATTCAGCATAGGTGACGGAGAGTGGTAATTCGAATTCTAAAAGTAGATCGACCTAGTCCTGTATCTAAGGTAGTTAGAGAATTACGACATACAAATACAGTTCTAGGAACTAACTCACACGCAGAAATCAAATGAAAAATATACAAACCTTAAAAAAAAAAAACCGAACAACTCTGAATAACTTTTGATCTAATGATCGGATTTTCACGTTGTAAGACTCAATCTTAATGGTTCGAGGGAGTGAGCTCAAATATGCTGAATAATTAATGTAGACGATGTTCTGAGTTTCGAAATCAGGCACAAAAACGTACTTTCTCTGAATTAACATACCTATTTTTCAACGGATTCGGATTTCTGACCCCCTAAAATACCATAATCTGGGAAATATGGTCCCCATAGTTTGGTCAGGAGAGCGATCCGAAGTTTAGACTCCTTAATGTTAATTTTACTCTGCGTATTTCGCCATGTCTCGAGAACTAAGTGAATTGAAACATTTTTATACACAATCATAAAGTTCGTTTATCCAAAGATAATTCCATGCAGAAAATTTATATTAGTAAATATTTATTACTTTTATTGACTTTTTTTATATATATTTTTATTTATAATTTTAAATACGACTTTTACAATATTCTATTTCTAGAAACTATTCTACCGATTTCGCACAAATTTTATATTTTGCCATGCAAAATTACATAGTTTAAAACGTAAAAAAATTGTATGCATCACAATTCGAAATTTTTTTGACTATTATTAAATTAAAAATATTTATTAAAATAAATTAATTTTTTGCATGGAATTATCTTTGTACAAACGAATTTTATAATGTGTGCAAAAATGTTTCAATTCACTCAAGCTCTCGAGATATTGCGAAATACGTTGAGTAAAATTAATATAAAGAGGGGATCATTCTTTGGATCGCTCTTTAGACCACTATGGGGACCCTATTTTTTTTGGGGGGGGGGTCAGAAATCCGAATTCGTTTGAAAAAGGTATGTTTATTCAGAGAAAGTACGTTTTTATGTTTGATTTTGTAACTTAAAATATCGTCTGCATTAATTAAATCAGCATATTTGCTGTTAATCCCTCGAACCATTGAGAATGAGTCCTATAACGAGAAGATCCAATCATTAGATCAGAAGTTATTCAGGGTGGTCCATTTTTTTCTTTTTTTTAAGGCACTGTATATCATTTTTACGATTACCATCAAAAATTCTTATCTTTTTCGTTTTACGGTAAAACAGAAATAAAATTTTAGTCTTCTTAAGAAACGTATCTTTTATAATAATTATTATTTTAGAAATGTACGCACCAGTGGATTAGTATTGGATATAGCATGCGTGATACCGCAAGGTCCCAGTTCCAATCGAGTTCCTGTCGATTTAATGTCCTCAGAATTCATCCAGAGTGGCAGTGTTATCAGAAAAATAAATGCTGCAGCAAGTCCCCAAAAGGCTTTGTTCTTCAAAGGTTGAAAGAATCCTGAAATATTTCAGAGTTTGGGTGATTAATGAATTTAAAGTTATTGACTGTAGAGATATTACGGAGATAATAAACTCGTGTGATGAACTGTAGATATTTTTATTAAGGCATACGCCTGGTCTTAAACTTTCAACATTTAAGAATAATTTTTTAACTTTCAAAATTAGAGTTAAAAGCTCAGCCTATGTAAGTTGGGACAATGATAAAATCATATTAATAGATAATGAGAAATTACGATATAATCAAATGTATGTAAAATTTAATGGGACAACGGAATCTGCGATTGACGAAGAAAACTGACTGTGACGAAGAAAAAATAAACGTTAACTTAAGCATTGCGTTGGCAAACCTGCAAAGGGTTTATAATTACAAATTGTATAAATACAAATTGTAAATTATAATACAGGTATTTAATTGTCGTTAACCCTTATTTTATTGTTTAAGCAGTTTTTAATTTAAACCTCCCCTGGGCACTTTTTTTTAAAAATTGATTTTTTTAAACTGATTTTGTTTTAACTGTGCCGACCGGCTGTGTAAGGGGCAGGGAACTGTCCTTGCATCAGAAAGGTTCGGGGTTCGAATCCCGGGCAGGGCATGGATGTTCTTTCCTTCTCTCTCTGTCTTTACTGTGGGAGTGACGTTGGCCCACCTAATATGTTGCCCCTGTAAGAGAGGTCAACAAAATTGCCCTGTATATGCCTGAATCGACGGATGTTAACACAGGTGGGCATTGGAAAGAAGGAAAAAAGTTTCAACTGTTTGAACTACCTGAGACTAGAAAATTTCACTTTAATACTATTTATCTGAGAAAATTAAGAATACTAGTATATCAAGGTGGAGACATTTATTTTACAACGAAAAGAACTAGTTATACTCTTTGCATGTAGAATACTGAATAAATAGAATCAACAAAAGAGGTAAAATTCAACTCAGTGATTTTTATTTATTTGATCTTTTAGTTTGTATGACAGGCATCAAAAAATAATTTTCCGCAAATAAATTTTATAATGCTTTTTTTTTGAAATTCTACTTTATCGTTAATAGTATTAGAAAAGGAAAGAAAATAGTTACCAAACCGCTTTTTACGAAATCTAACACGCAGCATTTGTTTTTTTAATTACACGACAAAATAAGAATTTTAAGGTCATGTGATTTCTCCACTCTTCGCATTTTCCTCGTCACCGTTACTATTGTTTTGACAAATCTTACTTTTTCCCAGTATATGCTAACTTTTTACTGAAATTAACCGGTAGGGGCATGGTGACGGAGAGGGGACAATGGGGGACTCATAACTTTGAGACTTTTATAAAGATCATAAAGAAACAAACTTTAACAAGCAGCTAGATAATATTTTCCCCTAATGCATATTTTTTTAAAATTAAAATGTCAAAATTATATTTTAATTTTAGAATGGATTTCCTTTTTTACTCGAAGTTTATCACAGCTGGATTAATTGCAGATTCTGAACAGCATATGCACAATCTTTAATACCACATCTTAACTAGTCATGATTTCAGGTTAAATCCACTCTGGTATTTGTGTTTGCCGCTTGAGATGCATGCGTCATAGGCTGATTTAATTATCTGGCTCATTGCAAAATGCAAAATGACGGCAATGATAGCTGCAAAATGACGGCAGTAACTTTTTATCAGCAGCTGCAGTCACGTTGCAAATCGCCAGGTTAATTGGGAAAGTCGTCAATTTTTTCATCAGGCTGATACTTTTTATGCTCATTGCAGTGAGACAAATATCCTTAGGCTCATTAGAAATTATATCATTCATTGGTCATTGCCTGATTATCTCTAGTAATTTTTAATCAGCCTAAAACAGTGAAAACTTATTGTAAATAGTCTTATTAAATATTGAATGCAATTAGCTTAAGCTAATTCTGACTAAGTTTCGCACATTTCTCATGGCTTAAAGGCATATATTTTGCTTGAAATAATCATTTAAAAATCAGGCATCTTTGAAAATACTTTAGAAAAACTTTTCCTACTTGCTTTACTTCAAAATGTCGCCGGCATTAAAAATTTTTTTTTCAAATAACCTACTAGATCGTGGTGACTCAGGGGACACAATGCTCGCCTCCCAGTGAGATGAACCGGGTTCGAATCCCAGCGATTGCTGGTCAGTACGAATTTCGCACCTGCTCGCACTGACCACAGTGCTGATGTAAAATATCCTCAGTGGTAGATGTACTATAGATCCCCTTGCCGTCGGACTAGCCGTGAAAGGTTTTCCTCTACACGTAAAGCAAATACGGGTTAGTTCTATCAAAAAATCCTACAAGGCAAATTTCTTCCACTAATTGATCCAAGAGTTCCCTTGTCTTCTGGGTTGGGTTCAAAATTACAAGGCTTCGAAGATGAACATTAGAAGTGTATCCAAAATTGGGTCTGCTGTTCAACTATGGTTATAAAATAAAATAACCTACGATTTATATACATGTATATTAAATTCACAAATTTGATTGTATTTGAATACATAAAATTTTGAAATTTTAGAAACCAAATAAATAGCTTTTGTTTTACACCAAGTTTAACACAGAATGAATAAGATTCGAATACATTTTTCTATCTATTTTCATCAACTTCATAATCCTCTTACCTGACTTTGAAGTTGTCTTTAGCTGGAAGTATTCTATTTCGCCTTTAGCAAGGTATGCTAACATAGCTCCAGCTACAAGCAAACAAGTTCCGGTATGGAGTTGCATAGTCAATTTAAACAACATGTAAAGTACATATTGTTCAACGGTGGTGTAGATGGCTGCAACTAAACCTGACTGCAATGCACACAGTATATAGCTGTAAAAAAAACACATTTTATGTTTCAGTTTTATTGAAGAAACTGATAAACCAAAACTTCATTTCCAGGAATCATGACATCAAAGCATGCTTATTAAGATTTTTTTTAGTATTTAAATTTGTTTCAAACTGTTAATGTTTTATATGATAGGATCAGCCGGAAATTAGGTTTGTAAATACTTAAACACCTAGGTTTGTAAATAAACTTTCCTCTCAACCTAATATATTTAAGTGACGGTCAGTAATTGATAAAATACTTCTACAGGTACTTTAGGTTGGTAGGTACTTTATTTACGTATCACTAGAGCTGCACTATGAGCTACGGTCTGGGAAACATCTCTGAGAATCATCCGAAGACATACGAACACAATTTGTGAGGCCAATTCCTCAATTTAGACATAAGTCTCAAGGGAAGGAAATTCTCTAAATCCACAAATCAGACTCACGGTACAAATCAGCAACCGGAAACAGGATTTTAGATTCCACAGATTTTGCGAGTACGTACTCGATAGCGGTGGCTAGGATCGGACCCTCCGGACCGGAGTTCGATTCTCTAACCTCTGGGCTACCACGGCCCACAGGCACTTTAGGAATGTGTACAACAAACTTAAAATTTAGTTTAATTCAAACGGAATGATAAATTTTAGCAAAGACTGCTTTTCCCCGGATTTTCTCAGAATTGTTCTCTTAAATAGCTTGAACAAAAAGTCTTAATAGATATGAATTTCAGAAATCAAAAAGTTTGGGGATATTGTGCCTAGCACTATCACGTTTACCTGTGCTATAGTGCTAAATGTTTTCATACCGCTGCGTGTTAAAGAAAAGTCATAATTGGTGTGAATTTTGGAAATCGAAAAGTTTAACATTTTGGCGTAGGGGACAAAGTTTAATACTTTGAAGGGACACCGTTGTCCGTTTTACATATTTTTTCTGGCTCTTTAATTACAAGTAAAAATATATTTTGTATTTCTAAACTATAAATAGAATAGTTACATACAAAATCTATTAGATTATCGGAACGATGTTTCAACTAAAATATAAAATCCGAAAAAAATAGTTTGAACATTTTTTCATTCATATTCAAAAATTTATCAATAAACAATTTTGTTAAATTAAAGAAATTTCAATGATGAATAACTTTCTCTTAGATTTAAATAAGTGCTAATTTTGAAAATTATTGTTTGGAAGTGATCAGTGTTTGGAAGAGTTGACCTTTAATGCAGAAAAAGACACCGGTGTCTCACGCTGTATTTCATAACCATAAATCATTAAAATGGTAAATATAATTTTTTTCTTCCGCTTATTGACCTAAATACAAAATAATGAAAAAAGTAGGAAAAACATGTTAAGTAAATGTTCGGGGTCAAAGGATTAAAAAATCCGGATTAGCGATCCAGTTACAAGGACGTTAGTGATGTTTACGGCTCCACTACATGCATGGTACAAATGCACATATTGTTCTAAGACTTAGCTCCTCTACAAATCGTTTAAGGATTTTTTAATTCCTCTGCTCGAATAGATCGAACTATGAATCGAATATCATTCTGAAATCTAATATCATTCAGTAGACTGTCAGGAAAGCGTAGTTTGGATTTGGTTTAATGAAGTAAGCTGAAACGAAAACAATTAAACCCGAACTAATTCAGTACAGTCAAAAACTTGTATATTCCTTACGGAAAGTGCCAAGACAAGTTTGACTAACCAGTTAAAATAAAAGCAAGACTCGTAGAAAAGGGCAATATGTCTTGATTTTAACAAAACCTACCAGTCAAACAACTAGTTCGGAGTCTCTTCAATCAAATCTAGAAATTCAGTCAGGATAAATTGTTACTGTTGTTGACGTTGGCCATGAAGGCAGAAGGGGTGCGATCGTTCTTGTTTTCCAGTGGAGCCATCTATGGGCAAAAATTCGATTTTTGCCACACCCATACGTCACACCAGTTTATAGGGCGAACCTATTCATATATCAATTCATTCGTCCACAGATCGTAATTTTGACCTGAACCAGAGAACGATCAATCTCCAATTCAGATCCCCCAGAGGTATTGATTGGTTATGGGAACATGGAGGACTTTATGACTCGACAGATTTAGCGTGCACCAGTGACCATTTACTACACAGGGAGTCTTCGGCCGGCTGGATTCGAACTCTCGTTCTCATAATTCTGAGTTCAGCGTTCTGCCAACCAAGCTATCCCGGCCATAAATATATTGTTACTGATCAAGACATTTCTCTGAATTGTCTTAAGTGTCTGTTACGTTGAATTGAGGATCATTTAATTAAATAAACTAGTTCAAAATTCTTACTTGGAAGTATTTTTTTGATGAGGTGAGAGTTCATCACAATTTTCGTAAAACAAATGAGAAGTATGGAAGGATAATAAGAGCAAAACAAGTAGTTGTATGGCAGGAATGTCAAAAATTCTGTCTTTAAATACTGGATCATCAAAGTGGTAGGTGATCAGAAGTAGACGAGGAGCCATCCAGACAAAGGGAGCTATTATGAGGAGACTGAAAATCGATGTTACGAAGGCTCTCGTCAAAGTGGGGAGTTTTGCATCTTTCGTCAAACAGTCAGCAACATACTGTGTTAATGCAACTGAAAGAAAGTGAAAAAGAGAATGAAGAGAAGATAATTAAATTGTTTCATCATTTTAAACGAACATTAATGGATCCCTGCCCACCGGAGTTAGGAGCAGTGGTTCCCAAAATGCTCCTTTATAAAGGAATGACATAATAAGGAATGACATGGAATGACATAAAGCTATTGTTCTATGTTTTACTGTTTCACAACAATACAGAAAAATAAGTAAAATTATATCGCCGAATTATCTACTAACATCCGAATTATCTACTAACATCCTCTTGCTTACTCCAAAAAAAAATAAAAGGCAACGCAAAATAATATCAGAAAATACAACATCTAATATTATATAGCATCAAAACTAATGCAAAATAATATTATGGAGAACGCTAGATAATATTAGTTTGCATGGAATCTAATATTATATAATGCAGAGCAAACAGCGACCTCTTGTATCTTTCTAATATTAGAAGTTGTGCAAGATAAAGTTAGATTTTGCAAATTTTCTGATGTTACCTAATATTAGGTGCTACTTTGGTACCCGGAACTAGAGTGACTGCATTAGGGTTCCGAGAGGTAGGAATTTTCTTTAAAGCTTTTTCAAATGTTTTTGGAATCTAATTATAGTTATATCCAATTGATAATCCATTATTTATTTAATATTTCAGGTGCCTTTACGATAATGTACTTAAAGTAAAATACCAATAAAGAAATAACAAATTTTTTGGATAAAAATACGTATTTTTTTCAAATAATATATTGAATAAACTATGAGAAGGACATGCATTTGTAGAATTTGCATTAGCGTTTCAAGTCAAAATAAAACTACTAGATTGTTTATAAAGAAATATGTTTCCTACTTGCAGTTTTTCAACGTTTATAGCCAGTTCTTTTTAGTTTTCATTTCAACGAAAACTATAAATCGGATTATTTAATTCATTTTCAGCTTATGTTTAGATACCAAAAACAGTCATAAGACGACTAAATTTAGTTCCAGAGTAGTGAATTCAATTGTCAGATATAGAATCTCATTTGTAATTTTTAGTGATAAAACGATGAAAAAAATGTCATCCTTCTTATTAAATATTTTCACAATGAAATAGTATTTTACAGATTAATGGGTTCATTATTTTTATTTAAGTACGTTAGTTACAAAGTCTGGGTTCTATTGAAAGAATGTTAATCATTTACTGTTCCACAAAAAAAAAGTGGTTATTACGTTTTCTTTCACCCTTATGCAAGTATTTTTGATTGGATATTAAATATATGCTTGTATATATAAGACAGTTCCAGACTAGATTTATATATAAAAATGTATAGAGCTTGGCGACTGTAGCTGTGTTATGTTACGGAGAGTAGAATACTCTCGTGGATTAAGTTTTCTTTTTAAAAAGTTATGTGATGTTTAAGTTACATTTTTTTCCTTTCTAAATAAAAGTTCTTTGTAAGTTAAAAGAGGAGTTTTTAATTATTCTTGCTTAGCATTTTCCAATACGTACTCAACTATTCCAGCAGAAATCCTAACACCCGTATTAGGAAATATTAAGTACTTGTATAAATGCAACAACAAACTTGTTCCCAGTGTTCCAGTTCAATGACCAAAATATTCAAAAATAAACATTCGGAAATGTGAACAACTAAGGGAAGAACAAAAAGCATTGCAAAATAAATTTAGTAGTTTTCCGGTGTAACTACATCAAGTTAACCGTTTAATACATGGAATAGAACAACGTCTTAATGCATCATATTCTTTTTATATTAGCGTAAGCTTGTATTATAGAGATATATTTGGTATAAGTATACTGCAGTGCAATTGAAAAAACAACGTAAGTGCTTCATGATCGATTCCGAGAAAAGCGGCTTGACTATTTTCCTTCTATTGCTAATGTAACGCTAAATTAAAGTTTTTCAAAAAACTGATTAAAAAAAATTCATTTTTGAAAAATTATTTTTTGCAATCAATGTAGCTTACCGCACAAAAATGCCAAATACGTTAAAATCTGAATTTTGAATTTTTTGTCTTTTGCGTTTATTTTTCGATTGAACTGCAGTTTAGTAAGCGTGAAAGGCGCTTTTGCGCACCTTTATTGAAACTAAGTCATGAATGTGTTTTGGAAGTCATACTTAAAGTTTAAAAATATTACAAATTTATATGTACTTACATGAGCTTATGATGTAGGAAGGCAGTCGCGCCCTTATAATGTTGAGGAAACCTGGATGATACCACCACAATTCATATCCAGCACGAAAAAAGGGCAGTATTTCAAAGCACATCGTTGCGATCATAGCAGCTAATACCAGGAACCGAGATTCCGACTGTCTCATTTTGGCTATGTATTAAATAATTACACAGAATAGTAGCAATTCAAAATTTTATATATGAGTGGCCATTAAAAACTTGATGTTAATATGTACTAAAAATAAATATAAAACATGCTAGAAACTATGTTCGACACAAAAAATGGAAAATGGTGAGGATACAAAGAAAGCTTGCCAAGACACTAGGAATAACGTTTGCTATAGTGGATGTTATGAAATAACTCTTATAATTTTGACGTGCAATAACATACGAAATAAGACACCTTAGCCTCTAGTATAGAGAGTGAATCAAGGTATCCACAGAAATAACTTTTGGCCTAATGATGGGATTTTCTACTGTTAAACTACAATCGTAATGGTTTGCAGGACACTAACTATGCTAATTAATTAGGACTATCTATGAATTAACACATTTATGTCTAGTGTCCTTTAAAAGTATTAGTATTTATTTTTCAGAAATAAGATAATTTTGACTACCGTAATGTATCACTAGTTAAAATATTTATATTTGGATCTGTAGCCAAATCATAGTGCCATTTCAAAGCTAAAGTAATATGTAAGGAAAGGAAACATTCACTCGGTTTGAATGCTGCCACTTTTTTTCGTAAAAGGCATTCATTTTATCATTGCAAAATTTGGCAGAAGGGAATTAAGTCATGATATGCAACAAATATTTTTAATTAAAAAAAATACGTTCGAAATTTTTCTCTCGAAGTACTAATTGCGAAATGGAAAATATTGTTTTAATAGTTTAGTCAGGATAAGTTTGGTCCTTCCTCCACACTACAACTAATAGTGCAAATCAAAGAAGGAGGTCCCCGTTTAAGAAACTAGTTTCCTCAGACAATAAATAGACACTCTAAAATGAAATAATTCTCCTTTTTGTGTTTTTGAAGTGTTATTAAAATAAGGTAATGGGGGTAAAAAAATTTTAAGTGTTAGATAAATTTTCTAATTTTGAAGTTTATTCATTTTCATATTCTCATCAAAATTGCAATATTTTGTGATAAAACTAAACATTTTATTAAGATCTATCAAATAGGTCCCGAGAAGTAAAATTATTTTTCAAAACAAGTTTTTCTTGTATTAATAAAAAGTATTTCGATTTCTCTTTGAGATTTCCCGTGCATTTAATTTGAAGAGTTATAAAAGCAAACCAAAGTGTACTTTTTTCCAACGATAATACAAGAGTCTTTTTTTTATTTTAAAAAATATGAATCATAGTCGTTAGTCCCAATTTATTGAAAAGCCTAAATAAATTACAAACTAAATGAATATATTAGGAGTGCAACTAGTATTTGATTAGAATCATACCGAAAAAAACCCCATTTAAATGTTAGATTTTAAACGTTTATTAAGTATTATTGTAAATATTTCAAAGTCTTTAAATTGAAAACATGCATTTATATTATTCTGAATTAATTTTTTTGTAATTTTAATTATTTCTTTTTCATGTTAATGCTAAGGTCAGATAAGATCTGACATAATATTGCATAAGTTGCTCTTATTTTACAAGACATCTGGAAAATATGATATTTTAATCATAAAACTAAACTGTATTGTAAGGAAGCGTCTGAGAAAAATATGTATTAAAAATTTTGTGAACGATATAGAGTCTCAAAATATACAAATTTAGTACACTTGTGATTTGTTGAAACTAAAGGTCGTTAGATCTTTCAAGAAAATGAAATCGTGCAATTTCTATGACATAGTTCTAAATTAAACACCTTCAAGCACGTGCAGAAAACTTGTGACACATTGATAGATAAAATGCCAAAATTATTTTTCCAGGAATTAAAAACGACTGCACTGAGCTTAACCTTAACAAGCAAACGATTTCATAAACAATGTCTCGCAAAAGAAAAAAAAATAATGTAGCAAGAAACAAACGAAATATATAATCAAACAAATTTAAGCATTTTGAGAGCGGTAAACCTAAAAATTTTGATTCTGTGCAAATTAAGTGTTTTTCAGAATATTTTAACCTAATATTTTAAGAGAATAATTTATTAAATTTAAAAGCTAGAATTAAAAAAGTCAGTCAATTGTTGAAATTATTAAATTGAGGAATTAAATCATTTTCATAGAATGAAACGAAATAAATTGTATAAGTTCAATAACTTAAATCAATCTATTTAACTTAACGTTAATGGTTTTTACAACGCAAAATAAAACTGCTTTTTAATATTGGAAACTTAATTGTGACATAAAAGGAAATAAAATATTACATAAACTTTTTAGGGAAAAAATACAGCTTAGCATTTTTATTGTCAAATCACATAAAAGAAATTGTATTTTACATTTCAGGTGTCAGTTGAGATTGAGGAAAATTTAAGGCAGAAAATTCTCAAAGTTTAAAAATAAAATTAAACCTTGAATATTGCGTAATCAAATTGATTAGAGATTCACCTTGAAACAAAATACGTAAAAATATTCAGATATATTATTGATTATTATTCAACAAATCTTCAACTCAGTCTACAAAACTTTTTTTTTTCCAGACTAGGTTTATTTGTATATGATCTAACACTTATGAATTTTAGTGATAATTATCGAGATATATTTAAACTGCATATTCTACTTTAAAAGTTCAATTCACCAAAGAAATCTCTGATTATTTAAATTAGTTTCAATAAATATTAAGATCATGAATATTTTAAGTTTATTCTAGATTTTTCTATTTTAACAACTGCGGAAATCTTAATAGAAAAAGATTTCATTTACTTTTGATTAAGAAAGAAGTAAGCAACTTTATTTTGATTAGTTCATGTTTTTGTTATAATCCAATAATTTTTGGTTATTACATTAAATTTTAAATTTAAAAAAAAACTAACATCTTGCATAACCTGCTACCCGCAGCGGCACCTGAGCATAATAAAAAAATTTATGATAAATTTTGAATAAAAAAAATTTCAAATTTTGAGTTGCACATTTTTCTGAGTGCCCAGTATAAATCAATGTAGTTTTTCGGTCGATTTTTTGGTGGTTATTGCTACGAATTTCAAAGGTAGTATTCACTTTTGAAGCTCTTCATTTTTGTCCAATTTTTCGTTAATCCAAGTGACTTTATTAACTCATGTGGCAGTTATTGCCAGATTTGCACGCGGTTTTTAAAAATATCGATATTTTTAATACGATATTATAACAATTCGCAATTCGAATCGAGCATTATAATAATCACTTTTGACGTGCTTACCAATTCGGGAGTAATTGCTTTTTATTTTCACATGGTTTCAATAATCTCGATATTTTTATTGCGTATTAATACGGCATTTGAATTTATTTAATATGCATCTTATTTGTGCCATATCGCATATCTACACGATTATGCTTTTTTTTTTCAGTAGTTAATAGCTACGTTTTTCATTGAGGTTTTTGAAATCCTGATATTATAATTTTCTTGTTTCGATTCACGTGCATTACGCTTTAGATAAATAAACTTTCTCTGATGCTATATCACGGGGGAAAAATTAATGGTAAACTATTTCCCCATCATTGGTAATTTAATATTGAAAGCTCCAACAAAAACCATGAAGTTACAAATGCTGAAATTTTTATTTTCAACATATTAAAATGCAAACAACTTCTGGAAGGGTTAGTAACGATTACGCAGAGGGTAAGCAATCCTGCAATGAAATATTTTTTCAACATTCGTTTACTCTAGGTTTGTATTGCATGAACTAACTCTTTACTTTACCATTGGAGATTAAATAAAATTTGCCATGAAGTTATTCTCTCTCTCGGTATAGCGTCCTCTAAACGAAATGATTGAAACAAAACTAAACTGACTGAAAAACTGGGAGGAATTTCATGATAAAATGTGTGATGGTGACATATTTCAAATAATTATTTATCATAATTAAAATAAATTGCCATTGCAGCGCCATCTAGTGGCATCAAAATGGTTTATCAATTGTCTGTTTCCAGCTTCTGGGCAGTGATGTTCCCCAAAGTTATGTCTGCGTGAGACGAACGACAACTTTAAATGGAATGTGTTATTTCCGATTTTTGATTCTTTTATTTTGTACTTGTTCTGTGCTCTTATATATTATAATAAATAATTTGGAGTTAGTGTTCGTTTTTGTAGAAGAATCATAATTCACGATTCATAACATGTGCTGTTTTATAATATGTCAAATCAGAATTGTGGGTGTGTGTTCATATTTACAGTCTGTATATTTGAATCAGACTATACTATTCATTCAGTAAGTTTTCAGCTATCAGGAGAGATATTTTGCCACACTGGATGCTTTTGCATAAGTAGCCCCAAAAACATATGATTTACAGTATGTTCGGTAAATTAAAAAATTATTTCAAAAACGAGACAAACGAAACACTTATAGTGACGTTACTTTTATACATTTACCTATACTATTTTCACACTTGCTTAAATTTTCGTTTTTAGATCATGTTTACAAGTTTTGAGAGTCTAAAATTTCATGCAGTTTTCAGTGTTTCCTGCACTGCCACTTTTGCATGGTTTAAATTGCTCAAAGCATAATCCTTTTAAACTCAAGTATCTTCCATTTTTTCTTAAAATCAGAAATTCCTCTTTAACCCTGATTTGATTAACGTAAAAATTTATGCATTTTTATCTGATAGTTCGCCAAAGCTAAGTAAGAGCCAAAGAAACCAGGGTATGATGAGATGTATTTGAAACTGGCAAAAATTTCACCACATTCATAAAACAGGAACTAAAAATAACTTGATTTTTGGAAGAAAAAAACTTTTTGGTTAAATGGACATTATTAATGGCGTACTAGTTTTATATTTGGATCATCAAGCAAAAGAACAAAAGATCTGATTTTTTACTAAAAATTTTTTTTTTAATTTTATTGTAAAAACAATAGTATTCTGCTAATGCTCCTGAGACAAGAGGATCGCTTTGAGTTTAAGAAAGGCCTAAAAGTTCACAAAACTTTACTTTTTTTAATTTGCGATTTGAATCAAATTTTTGAAATATTTGCATTTTTTATTCTAAATTTTTAATTTGTTTCCAACATATTTTTATTCATCATAATTTTCCTAAAATTAGAAAGCTCTCCTACTTTGATCAATTTGCATCTGTAAATTATAAGTAATTCTATAGAAACATTCATTATTAATGTATAAGAATTATATGTAATAATCGTGACATAAAAGTACATATTTTTAGAAATATTAGATCATTATTAAATATTATATTAGCTCAGATTATTAAAAGAAATGTAAAATAAGGGCCGGTTTTTTATTCTAAAGGAAAAAAAGGAGAAAGAAATGATAAAGGTGAAAAAGAAATAAAGTAGAAATAAAGAAAACTAGATGAACGAAAGTTTAGATAGTGATTATTTATAGACTGCTAATTAAATGTCTAGGGTATTATTTTATTAGAGTAGATTATTAGAGTAGATTAATATTTATGAGTTTATCCTTCAAAATAGTTTCACTGCTAAGAAAGTCATCTTGCAGGGAAGCAACACTACGATTAATGATGGGGGAAATTTCTCATTCATATGATTTGTCAAGCATTTTTCATGTTGTCCGTGAACTTATTGTAGTTTTTTTAAATATCAGTATTTCTTACTAAATCAAACACCAATATTTAACATCAAGTGCGGGAATAGAGTTTCAAACACAGTATTTTTTCCCGAACCATTAACAAAAGTTAAATAAGGTAAAATTATCTTTAAAAAATTATAATTCAAATTAAATTATCTTTGGATAAAAGAGTTTAGCAAAAGTGTGAATTTTTTTTAAGTCTGTCTTTCTAAGGCTCTGTCATAATATGAAATGCTTTTTTGCGAATAATGTGCTACATTTATAACTGTTTGCAACTGTTACTCATGACTATTGGGTCAAGTTTAGTCTATCTCAAGTCAGTCTACGCTTATATTGAAAATGGCATAAAAGCAAATATGGAAAAAAGCCACAGTTTCGTAAAAATAAAGCGTTTGTTATCAATTTTTTTATATCTAAAAACTTACTATATGCTGCATTACCTGGTCTCATAATAATTTACAAAAACTAAGAATACCGCAGTGATTTTGATTATAAATATGTATTATGCTTTTTGCATGGATTTTAAAAAAGTTTAATAAATTTTAAATTATTTAAGTTATTTGTCTGTTCTAAGGTCCAGATAATTCTTCACGGCACGATTGTTTGTATAGTTTAAAATCATCACATTGCTTCAAGTGTAAGGCCCTTAAACTATATCTTTTTTATTTTCCGTGGCAACAGAGCATCAAAAAACAGCGTTAAAACTAGCATTAATAGTTTCCGAGATCTAAAGAAATGAGTAAGAAGGCAAATCAGCATTAAGAAATCTGCTCTCACGAGTAAAATATTTGAACCATTTTCTCTTGATTACGGCTCCTTCTATTTCGAAGGTCAAGAATCTGAATCTCGTCGAAGAACCTTACGTTTATTCAAAGAAAGTACTATTTTTTGCCAGATTTCAAAAGTGTCAATACAAATTAGTTTGCATATTTAAGGTTAGAAGAATTTCAGTACGGGAAAATCCGATCAAATAATTTTCACTCATTTTTCAAATTCTCTAAAAACTGATTCAGGCGATCCGTTTTTTATTTTGCATGCAATGCATTTCATCAGACTCGAAATCGAAACTATTCCAAAATTAATGCGTTCAAGGAGAACAGCAAACTTTTAGAATAAAATTTGGAGAAAACCATAATCTGAAGTTTTAAATGCATGGAAATTTTTAAGTTGACTCTAAAATCTGTGTGATTGGTGGCAAACGGATTTTCGGCAAAGGTGAAAACAGCTCTAATTTAGAATACTTGATTTGAAATAAGCCGGAAGGCTGAGAACAGCTTTGTCAAATCGACGAAGGAATGCTTTTCTCTATTTCTCAATAGTTCAAGTTCTTTTTTCGCGTACCTAACTAAAATTGTTTTTCTACAAGCGAACTAAAGAGTCTAATTTTTAAATATTTTTAAACGATTAAAATTTGAACTTGCAGTAAAATTATAAATTGCAAAGACTTAATGTTAGATAAGAAAAAGTAAACTAATATTTAACTGCGATCTTGATAAAACACTTCATTGGTACGAATAGATTAAAAGAAAGTTCAATTCAAATAAAATCAAATTTTCTGCTTGGAATTATCATACCATTAAGTACCTACGTCAATTTCATTAATCAGTTATATATCCTTTATTTTTAATCAAAATTTTTAGAGGGAAATAAAACTACTTAATTAAATCCATTTTTAAGTGGTTTGTATTAAAAAGACAATATGGCTGTTTTCTTAGGCTCGAATTCTTCCGGTATTTATACCTTTTCAAATTCTCCCGCCCCCTCCACTAAAATAGAACAATCTTTTCTTACTTAAAGAATTTAAACAAGGGAAAACGCTTGTAAGTAATTATTCTTGTAAGTATACCGTAAATAAATTAAACGTTTTTCAAAATTTTAGAAACAAAATATAAGAACATAAACAAATATTTCTTATTTACCATTTTTACAAACTTGATAGATTAGTATTGCTCCAGCCAATTCAAGAACCACCGCCAGCCAGTTCTCATTCCACAAAACTCGAGGATCATTGAGAGTTATCAGAAATTCTGACGATAAGGGTGCAGCCTGAAATATTAAAGAAATTAGTAATTGATACCAAGAAATATTTTTACTGTGTAGACGTTTGTAAATTTGAGATTCCATTAAAAGATAAGTTTTATTCACAATGTAGTTACTGTTTTCCCTACATACCAATAATAAGTACGAAAAATTAATGAGTTTCTATGAATAATGAAAACAATTATTTCACGTCCTACGAAATTTATCAATCATTCAAATACCGACGAAATTTATCAATCATTCGAATTCCGAGGAAAATTTATCAATCATTCAAATTCCGACGAAAATTTATCAATCATTCAAATTCCGAGGAAAATTATGAGTCATTCACGCTCCAACAAAAATTATGAATAATTTCACAACTGATGAAAGTTATCAATAATTCCCACTCCAATGAAATTATCAATAATATGTGTGTGAATAACCATTATAGAATTTGGGTTTCAAATATGGTTTCGAACTTAATAAAAAATCTCAGAATTATTAAAAGCAACGAATGAATTTTTTCAGCAAAAATAAGCAGGTGGTTGTATCCTTCAGAAAAGTTTAGTGCAAGATGACGTAAATTATTTTCGGAAAGAAATGAGTCAAAATAAATCTTCAAAATTCACAATTCTGAACATTTTATAAATTTTTGTAATAGATTAATATTGAAACCAGTCAACTAAAAACTATACGCTTTTATGAATCTAATTTCAACCGAACATTTTTTTGAACGAATACTTTATAACTTCTAATATAAAAAAATTAATAAACATTTCCTTTTCTACATTACTGCGGAACTTTACATCAATATTTCTAACTTAAATGGGGATTTGTTTTTAAATAATATCAATGTTGAGCAACGAAAATTAAAAATTAGAATACGTTAACTTTAATTGTAGAGACTTGAAACAATTTAAATTTGTCTATAAGACAGTTTCCTTTCCTCGATTATAAAACTTGATAACCTTTTAATTGTACACTTGATCAAAAGAAGGGAAAAAATATTCCTACAGCAATTTGAAAGAATTCTATTTCAAGCAGGAACTTTTCGATTCATAAGACCTTGAACTCGCAAAAAATAAAATAAATTAGCTACGAAACGCAAATCAGATAATTTAGGAACCTTATTCTACCGATGAATAAAAGCAGAAAATTAAAAATATATATATATTTTACTTAGACATTTACTTTACGTTAAATAAAAATCGAAAAGTTATTTTTTTTTCAATTTTCATTATTTGTTGTTCATTTTTTAGATTAATTTTCTTCTTGTTCCAACTTTTTACCTTTCTTTTTTTACGCCACTAGTAAGTTTTTTTTCCCAAATCTCCCTCTTTTTCACATTAATTACATTAATTAGTTTTCGTGCTAGTGTAGTTGAGATCTCAATCTCCTTCGCAGTCATTTACTCTAATTTTCGTGATTACTTATCAACGAAATGGATCAGGAAGTAAGAGCCCACAATTAGAGGGGTAGAACGGCATTTTCAGTCTAAGCAACGTGACAATTTAAATACCGAGTAGGCCGAAATGTTAGACGGGTATTTTCTCAATTAACCCGAAGTTAGAATACTGGAAGTTTTCATCGTTTTTGATGGAGGGTAGATCAGCCTAGGGGATACCTCGCGAATGGGGTGGTGATTATGAATATCGTCTGATTTTCTCAATTAAATTGCAGCTCCCCATCAAATCTCATCTGCATAAGGAAATTGAATACAATTCTCAGAGACAGGATCCATATTTAATGAAAAGCATTGCATTCAATCCTTTTTAAAAGGTACCAATAATACATCTTTAACCTTTATTTGTTTTCTTTTTAAAAGCTCAGATGTAATAGAACTCACCAACAATGAAAGCAAATGCTAGCTCAAATGAGAAACTTCATTTTTCACATTCCTTTTATTCCTTTATAGTTCTTAACCACTCTTCTGGAAAGAATTTCACAGATGAATTACTTATTAATATTTATAACCATTGTTGAACCAGCTACTCAATTTTTGGGTTTACGAATACTAATGTTCAACTCCGTAGCCTTGTAATTTTGAACCCAATCCAGAAGACAAGGGAACTCCTGGGTTAAATATTGGTTGAATTTACCTTCTTAGAGGACTTTTTAAAGGGGCAAACGCCAACTTAGATCACATTTACACCAGCTGGAGCCCTCAAATCTCCAAAGAAGTTTTCCTTGCATGACGGCAAAACAGCCCTCAATTCCTGACCGTTGCAAGCAGAATTATTTATAAATTAGTCACCAAACAGAATTAAGTATCGATTAACCCTTTATTTACCAAATTATTAAAAATTAAATATGTTTAAAACTTTCTTGTTTCATTAAATAATGTCTACTTAATTAAACAAGAAAATTTCATTCTATAGACATTATCGTAATTAAATAATTTTAATATAACAAAAATGTTTTGAAAAATATTTTTGTAATAGTAATATTTGCTAATATTTTACAAACATTTTTAATTTTAGTCTTACACCACATTAGAAAAATTTTCATTAAAATTAAACATTTAATACCCACTTTTATAACTAGTTGAAAATATTAATGAATCAATAAAAAAAATAATAAGAAAGATTTAGTTGAAAAATTGATTGAGGCAGAAATCTGAGAATTGAGGAATGAAATTAAGGAATCATGAAATATGATGGTGATATTCAGCGTCAAATGATCGTGTGTTGTCAACTTGTAGTGATAAAAGGAAAGTCATATTACAAGGACAAGCATTTTGCTCTAGGGACAGATATTTTGTTCCGTTTCAATGCTACATGGAAATATTAGTGAGACTTAAAATTCCCATTGGTACATAAATGGTTAAATTTCAGACTCCTTTCATTCTATCTATTCTATCTAGAGTACTCAAATCTCACCTGAAGCTCTGTGCCTAGTGAAAAGCAGAATTTGTCATATTTTCAATTTGAATTTATGGTCATTCTAAATTTTAATACTTTTTTTCTAGCTTGTATGCTCAAATTTTAACTGATACCCTGTGCTAGATAATACTAGTTTCGATCGATTTTTGACTGCTAAAAGCAAAACTTCTATCTTATAAAGGAATGAAATTTATCCTGAATTGAAATTTCAACTGCAGCTCTGAGCCTGATAACTCAAGTAAAAATATTTCCGAAATGGTAAGAACAAAATTTATCACCAAATGAAATTTCTACGAGTTTGACATAAATTAAACTCAAAGCTAATAAAAAATTTTAAAAAATTATCTTTTTAAAGCAGTTTAATAAATGGAAAATTTAAACCTAACCTAAAACAAAAATGTAGCGCGTGTCATTTCTGATATAAACTGATACAACTGAAAACTTCCACACGCTTTTCGGAAATACGACTTTCATTTTGAGTCCGATAAAAATTATTCTCGTTTATTTTTAAAATTTATCTTTTAAATCTCTATATTTTATTTAAGAGGTTTAATAACTAAGTTTACAATTAAACGATTAGATTAGAGGAAGTACTAATGTATTACTCTTTAAAAATAAAGTTAAAGTTCGAGAGAAATATTTGGCTATGAAATCCCTTTTATACAATAGCTGTGAATCTTTCATCCTAAATATGTTATTAAATTGTTAAACATAATTAAAGAAATATTTATAACGATGTGGTAATAAATATTCATAATGAATACTGCGGGAGCGATCGTCTATTTAATAACTGCAATATATTAAGTTCTGATAACGAACAAAGAACAAATAGTTATATAAAAAATGTTTAAATAGCCAAGTTATTTTTGAACGTAAAGCTCAGCACATTTATAGAATTAATAAGTTAGAAATTATTACAAAATCTTCGATAGAGTTCATAAATAGTGATGTTCGATTTCAAGGGAAAAATTGAACTTATTTTAAGTAAAAATATTTTTTCAATAAATATAAAGCATCTATACCGTTAATGCTTTAACGGTATCTCACTATGGCAACGAAAAGCTGATACAAATTTAGCTGCCGATGGGGCAGAAATGAGTGGTAGAATGAATGTAGACATTAAAAAGCTTTAATAACAAGTATAGAAAAGTTACTTTTAAAATTAAAAGGATGTGTTTAATGTATCCCTCCGCTTATGTTAGGTTTACGAGGCACTGTGTGAACAGATTATGTTCTAGGAAGTTTTATTAAGGTGATTTGTGTTTGAATTTACGAGAAATTTTATCATTCATAAGAGTTTTCTGTAATTTATCAATTCTAAAACATCGTGAGCAGTAAACAAATTTGAGAAAATTATTTACTGCTCACGATATCACAACGTAAAAAAGAAGGCTTGCCATGTTTTAAGTATTACCCCTTATATATTTTAGAATAATATATGCTATATTTGTGCAATATATCACTTATTTTTGGGTAGCATCATAGCATGTGTGGAATTTTCCGAATTCCTTTGTTGTTTGTTTTGTTGAAAGTAATATTACAAAAACGCTTTTAATTGTAAATACGACAAGCATAATATTGGATGACACGCCTGACATAACTTAGCGAAAAAAATCAATTGGAAGACGTAACCCGGAAGTCATACGACTAATTTTAACCACTAGCGCCACCTGTGCTTAATTTTATACAATTATTCATCAATAGCATCACAAAATTGACCAAACGTTGTTTCTCACTATGGCAACGAAAAGCTGAAACAAATTTAACTGCAAATTGGGCAGAAATGAGTGGTAAAGAACTGGGTAAGACGCAATTGCATCAACTCTAGTCAAATCTGGATTAAAGAGGAACTATAAAAAACTGTGTTTAATGACATTAACGTTATGTTAAACAGAGATATTAGTAGTTAAAAAATGAAAGCTTACTTTTTTATAAACCCTTGTTATTGTTTGAATCAGATAAATTAATATTATATTGAGATACTAAACATATCTACTGTACTTCAATGCAAAAAATTACATTTCAAAAGGCATGAATACTATTGCAAACCTAATGTGAAGTTGACATTGTTTTAGCACAACTCAAAGAACAATAACGCAAAATATTTATTTATATTTTCAAAGTATCCTTCAAATGCTGATA